AGAGAAAAGCGAAATACTTGTAAAGAAGATAGTATTCATTAGCACTAAGATAAGAATAGTAGTGTTTCAAAACTCAATATATTATTTGTCCTTTCATGACAAAGACAATGTATAAAATAGCTGTTACAATTAAATAAGATAAAATGTTTCATCTAATAGTATCACAGAATAAGTACTCAGTGAATGTGAGATAAAACTCCAGGTTTTTATAGCTGGAATACATACATAAAACCCAACATTCAAAGTCTAGGAAAAAAACTGTAGACCCTTACCCAAGACATTTTTCCAGTTCACTTGAACAGTTTCAATAAAGCAAAGAGATTTCCTAAACTGTACATCCAGGGGCTCAGCATCCGCTTTGCAATTTCTATTGTTTACTGCCCTTGTCTTGTATCTTCCTCATACAGGTTTCTGTGTCGTACATGTGCTGACCTCAAGGATGAACCCGAAATAGACTCCCACACTATCTACCACTTCATTTCTGTCTGCCATCCCTTTATTTACCATCACTGTAGGTTGGGTGGTTTCCACAAGGTCATGGCGTACCTGAGGACATGTGCATTTCTCATCACTCTGCGAACACTCCTTAAAGGGTCTTTCCTCATTCCATGGTCTTGAGAGATGTTAGCTGGACTTTCTCCTAGGAATCTTTGGTTTACTTAAATAAAAATCTGCATACTTCCCCTATCACATTCAGAATGTGTCACTGAGGTGACATCATCTAGGGTTCAAAACAGGGAGGGGGATTAAAGCAATGATTCTAAAATCATACTCTTCCCTAGACTGAAAACCGTACTCTGTGGATTGCAAACCATCTGTGTTGGTGAGATAATAGTGCAAACAATCGAAATCTTAATTTACTCCTTGGTAAAATGGAGAGTATATTCCCTACAGCAAAGAACTGTTTTGAGATTTAGTTGAGAAGATGTGTAACAGTGCTCAGCATTGTGGTTCATGCACAGGTATGCAATAAAGTACAGCTAATAAAAACGTTTTTACCCACAGAATCCTATATCTGTTCACTGCTTTACATAGCATACATTCATAAAAGTGACTCAACAAATTAAAAAGAAGATGCAAGCTGTAATGCCTGGCCTCTTCTCTTGTTCTCTCATGATCTACCTCCCACTGATGATGTCCAAACCAGTAAATATGTAGGAAAAGAGGCTCACTCTCTATTCTTTATAAAACAATGAAGTTTAGGGGTTTGGATTTATCTATTTTCTAGCTTGCATTGTTTGTAACTTTGGTGGAATAGTATCCCTACCACATGCCTTCAAAGCACCACTGATAACCAACTCTAAAACTAGTTAACCCCTCTGGTGCTATATAACAGCACTTACAAAAATGAAATTGGATTAAGGATAGAATACAAGTGCTTATGAAAAAGATCTTTGATCTGGGGTAAGTTGATGTTTCAATTCCTATTACTCTCTAATCATTCAACTCCCTGGGGGCAGGGACAGGTAATTTAGTCCCAGACCTGGATTTAAGATCCCCAGTACAGACTACATCACATTAAGTCTAACTGAT